CAAACCAACTGTGTAAGAGGCTTTAGCAAAGGTGTCATTTGCAGCCCCCAAAGCCCCCTTAGATCTGACTGCCAGCCAAACTCACCCACTGAGTCGAGCAGCAGCAGAAATGCAAGCATGAGCCTCAAGTGGCCATCAGACTGCCCCAAAGATATGAAGGCCCGCAACTGGAAGAAGTACAAGTTCATCGTCATGAACCAGACTTCTGATGAGAATGAAAAGGAGGCTCAAGGAAACAACGCTAATGCTACCGGCGCCATGTCCCCTACACCAAGCCCTGGCAAGAGCAGTGAGGCAGGAGGACACAGCGATGCCCAGGCAGAAGAAGGAGCTGGTGACCATCAAGAAGAAAGTCCCAGATCTCAGAGTGTGGACAGCACAAGCTGCAGCAGTGTCAGGTAAAAGTGCAACTCACAGACAGATCTAATATGAAATCAACGCTTTAAGATGTTAAGGAGCTTAAAGTAACTTCATAATAACGGTGCTCGTGTTCCTCGTTGCAGCAACAACAGATGCTCCACATGTGGCTGTGACAGCCCTCAGTGTATGGAAGCAGGCCACCTGTCTCCTGACTCATACAGCAAAGATGACTCCACCAAGCTACACTCGGATTATTCCATCTCCAGCTGTGGTAAGAGGAACGCACAAATATTAAACTGTTAGCTTGTCTTTAAGCTCTAAGAAGCCATTTGATCTGATTTTGTGTCATTGTTAGTCACATTTTCATTTATTTCTACTTCTTTTTGCAGAAAACAACAGTTACATCTGCAACGGGTGCGACTCAAAGTTCTCAGACGAAGATTCTCTCAAAGAGCACATGGCCCAGGTCCACAGCGACAAGCCATACAAGTGTGACTGCTGCCAGGCTGCCTTCCGCTACAAGGGCAACCTGGCCAGCCATAAGACTGTTCACACAGGTAAGAGTCACTGCAGGCTCTGCCTCATTTTCAGAACTCAAGGAATGGAGTTGTTGTATTCACCTGCTTTTCTTAACCTCCAGGTGCAAAGCCGTACCACTGCAACATCTGCGGAGCTCAGTTTAACCGGCCAGCCAATCTCAAGACTCATACTCGTATCCACTCTGGAGAAAAGCCATACAAGTGCGAAACGTGTGGGTCCCGATTTGTCCAGGTGAGGAGAAGAAGACCCCCCCCTCCAAAAAAAACCCCTTCTCATCTTTAGGAAAAATTTCAAGTGTAGCCTCATTATTAACATTAGTAATTTTCTCCCGCAGGTGGCCCACCTTCGTGCACATGTGTTAATTCACACGGGGGAGAAACCGTACCCTTGTGAGATCTGTGGAACGCACTTCCGTCACCTTCAGACGCTCAAGAGCCACATGCGCATTCATACCGGAGAGAAGCCTTATCATGTAAGCTTCCTAGTCACCCTCCCCTCTTTATCCAACGTGTCTGCTGGCTAAAAAGAGAGTAATCCCATCATGCCGGTGATCCATATGCCTGTCGATAGTTATAATTCCTGACTGGTAATCCTGGAAAGAGCTAACCGATCTGAGCTGTCCATTTATAAACAGGGATTCTAAATAATGCTTTTATTTCTCCTTTACTTTAGTGTGAAAAATGTGACCTCCACTTCAGACACAAGAGTCAGCTGAGGCTTCACCTGCGACAGAAGCACGGGGCAGTCACTAACACCAAGGCTCAGTATCGCAGGTCTCCCGGCAACATCATTACAGGCCTGGCGAACTCCTGCTGAGCGTGCTGCAGACCTTCATTCCCCCCCCCCAAACTTTTTTCTTTCACCAGCCAGCATGCTGTCAAAAATTAAATTTTCTTTCTAAACACAACCAGAAATTTGTGTTGCCCTTTACGTATTTGTACGTGATGCACATACTTTATGTAAGTTCTTTGTGAATGTTTAACGACAGAATGTACTTTTTTTTTTTTTTTAATGTGAATTTAAAATTTTGTTTTTGGCAAATCACTCAACACAGTGTCTGAACTGAAGGACAGCCCTCATTTTTGTACGCATTGAGAATCACTGTTACACTTGTGCTTCAGCTGTAGATACGACTTCGCCCGTTAGTGTGGTCTTTTGCAGTCTTACGCCGTTATTTGTTTGTTTGCCAAGGCTTGCCTGTAAATAAGATAATATATATATATATTTTAAGATTGCCATCTGCTGGCAGAGTACGAATATATTTACATTTTTCTTAATGCAGTAAGCTTTACTGACTGTCAGTAACACCAGGAATTGTTGTTTTGATGTGTCATAGGTTGTGGTACTTATTGCAATAAGCATAGCTTGTCAGTCATTTAAGCAAATGTTTTTATTGTCTTGTACAGTTTTCCCTTTTTATTTCTGGGTTAATGTTGTTGTTTTGCACATGCACATGATGCTGTAATTCATATATTTTCTTACTTTTATTCACGTATTTCTACTTAACATGTCAAAAAAGCTTGTTAAAATCAGTTCTCAGCACTTGCATTCTTATTTATATATATATTTTTTATTTTTCTTGGCTGAATTCTTTTGCATTTGGTGCTGCATTGATCCGTTTTTCTCAGCAGGATCATTAAACTTTGATAATCTTTTTACCTTGTGTGTCATAGTTCAATCGGACTAACCAGTTGAATCATTAGTGCCTTACAGTCACACGTTTCTGCTAGCTGCTTTCTCTGACTGCCCATTAAGGCATTCTACTGTCAAGAATACGACTGCTGCAGTGAACTGCTTCTGTGATGCATTTCCCGTTTCGCATTTGGTACTTTGCCCTGTTATTATGTGAAAGCATGTCAAGGTACTGTTTTTTTTGAAAGCTTCTGTTCTGTAATGTGTAGCTCTTTAAATGCAGACACCAGGCCTCAAGCTAAAACACTCAGGAATATTAGTAATATGTAAGCAAATGTCTGTAACTACAGATTTTATTACAAACACAAAAATAAAATGTTTATTATATAGCACACAATGCAGCATTTGTTTTCATTATTTTTAAGAAACATGATTCGAGCAATGAGTCATCCCAGCATTTAAAATTCATAACTGAATATTGTAGACATGTGGGAAATGTAGAGTATATATAAAACCTCTCCCTTTGTTGTCAGTTTATATTTGTTTAAAAAAAATAGTGGAGGGAATCAGTTCCTATGAAGACCAGCAAAGCAATGGCTAAATGAAATGCTGAGATATGTATGTACATTTGAAGGTACATATTCTTCTTACTGACAGAGACGCACACGCTTTGATTACTACATCAGTTCAGTAAAAGATAAACAATTAAAAGACAAAGCTCCACAATTATCACAGGACAAATGCTGCCAGCACCCCTTTTCTATATTTTTTACTCAGTTAGTGAAATTCCAAACAATCACACAAACTAGTTTCTTTTTTTATTTTATTTTATTTATTTATTTTTATTTACTACATCAGCTTTTCTTTATGACATATTAAAACAGACATATTATGGAAATTGCACTTCACCGAGCATATACTGTGATGTTTGGCGCCACCTGCTGGTTTATTAGTATGGAAACGAGGAGCTGTGACTTGTCTACAAACTACATCCAGTCAGATACATAAACTGTTGGACAATGACACTTTTTTTTTTTTTTTAAAGTTTTGCATCTGTTCACCGTCACAAAGGTGGCATATAATTTTAAATAAAAGTGTAGACTTTCATCTTTAATCCAAGGGATCTAATCAGGAATTACAGCCACATTCAGAGGCTTAAAATTAACTGGAGGTGCAGTTTCCTGGCCTGGTGACACCAGTTTCATGATTATTTCATGCATTTGGTATCTTTTCATTGAAACTCACAATATGATGAATGTCAAAAAGAAATGTTGATTAAAGTGAAGGACGCTGTAATTGGGCGTATTTAACCAAGTCAAGAACACGCTTGAGGAGATGAGTGTATCATTGTTGAGGTCTACAATCACGAGGAACCTTCACGGATGTAAATACAGAGGGTTTACAGTGAGGCTGAAACTACTGGTTAAACTCAAGAACAAGAAAGCCAGATTAGACTTTTCCAGAAAACATCAGAGAATCTTTGGACAGATGAAACCAAGATGAACTTGTAGCAGAATGATGGGAAGAGAGACGTGTGGAGAAGGGGAGAAACGGCTCATCTGATCTGAAGCTCACCTCATTATATGTGGAGGCAGTATTGTGACATGCGGATGAATGGCTGCCAGTGGAACCGGCTCACTAGTGTTTATGATGATGTGACTGCTGATAGAAGCAGCAGGATGAAAAACGAAGTGTTCAGGGCTATACTCTCTGCTCAGATTCAGACAAATATTGTATAGACAACACTATTGTGTGAGCTGCCAGGGACCATTTTGGTTCATTCTTTCAAACTCACCAGGCAGCGTTTGAAATGAATGACTCAAAAGCATTCTGCCAAAGTAACTGAAAGAGTTTCTTAAGGTAAAGAAATCGGATATTCTTCAATGGTCAAGTCGGTCACCTGATTTTTAACCCAGCAGATGATGTTTTTCAGTTATTAAGGACAAACTCGCATCAAGCAGTAACTGAAGGCAGCTGCAGTAAAGGCCTTGGAGAGGGAAAAACATATTTATCCATTTGTTCTACAGTATTTTCATCCAAGTAATAAAAACAGTTCTTGTACTTAACACGATGTGCTTTACTTTGGACCCTCTGAAAATAGGAGACTGTATTAAATGGTTGCAATTCCTAAACAATTAAAGAAAAACATCTGAAAAAGTGAAACACGGCATTTCAGTCACATATTGATTGGTTTTAAAATCCACTACGGTGTCGACAGAGGTAACACAAAAGAGACAGCAGTTTTAAAAGAACTTAAAAACGGACACAGCGCATATTTAACTTCACCTAATCTTCATTTTCACTATCACTAATCCCAGCTTGCATAGGCGTGATGACGCGCGTTCTGGAATAATAATGTGGGCATTCATCGTCAAATTGAAGCTTATCGCAGGAACACGTAGCAGATACTGACACACGGCACAAAAGCAAGTGTTCATGCTGTAGTGCTGTCCAGTAAACATGAGATGGATGTTGTATTCATTTTATTTGGATGGCAGAGAGGCTATATGTGGTTCAGTACAGACTTAACTCCTTCCTTGTAATCAGATCAAACATTTTTTATCAAGAGCGAGATAGCTTCTACCAATGACCCTGAAAACATTTGTAATACGTACAGTTTTTCTTAGACTTTCAGTGCTGCGAGTGCCTTTGACAAAAGAAGTGTGTCTCTAAGCTGAGGCCTCAGACGATGAGGAAAGACTACACTGTGACCTCTTCTGAATAATAACTAGTTCATCACAAGTAGCCGCTTGGCATTGCTACCTCCGCATTCATACACATTTTACATCCTCACAAATAAACAGTACAGCGTTTACAAAAGACACAAAGTCAAAATGAACCAAATGTAAAAAGTCATATGAATGAACATATAAACTTATTATAGTGTAAATGCAGTTGATAAAAAGAAAAATAAAAGATAAATGAATGTTGGCAGTTGGCGAAACTCAACCCTCTTTGTCTAGGATGGCTTTCACATCAGCGAACACCTGGAAGAGACAAAAAGCAACGTGTTAGAAAGCCTGAACTACTGGAAGAGCTGCAGGTGAAGCTTATCTCGCTGTCCGTGGCTATGAAGTACTGTTTTTAATCACAGGTGCAACAAAAACTCAATAAAAACTAGAAGTCCAGTAAAGGTCGCCTCTTTGACATGCCTGAGCAGCTGTTCCGAATACTTCAATCAATCTTTATTTATAAAGCACTTTTCATACAGAAATGTAGCACAAAGTGCTTTACATGGTTAAAAGCAGCCCACCCCATCCCGCCCTCCAATTCACTCCCCACACTCTCATTAACATAAGCGGTCATGGATACACACTGAGCTCCTCCGGCAGGCTGTTCCACAGACGAGGACCATACCACTGAAAGGCTGCCTCTCCGTGAGTATGTGTCCTGACTAGGGA